ATTGCAGAAAATACGATATGTATATGAAGAAATCAAAAGAAACAATAGGTATCGATAGCAGCCTGTCTCACAGACCTTGACAGCGTTGTTCCCCTTGCCACAGGTCTGGGAGATATGGCCATCTCCAACTCGATCGGCAGTAATGTCTTTGACATCCTGGTGGGCCTGGGCCTGCCGTGGGCACTGCAAACACTCTGCATAGACTACGGCTCCATTGTGAGTGCTTGTCAGAGCCCCCAGAGGAAAGACTGCTGGACTTGAGACCAGAATAGAACAGAGCTAAGTTTGTATAAGACATGACCAATTGTCAGCAGTGAGGTTAATGCTTTCCAAGAATGGACAGTCACTTTTTTAATAGGCATTCCACAGTAATATTATTACAAGGTGTTAAATGACTGAAAGGATTGCAAAGCCTTGAGAATTTAGGATAAGATTATGATTATTTCAAGAGACCACATATTGGAGTTCTTTGAAGAGCAGAGCGGCAATTTGCTTTGAATTGCTCTCTTTTCTTTCTTCAGGTCCATCTGAGCAGCAGGGGACTCATATTCTCCGTTGGACTCTTATTGGCCTCAGTCTTCTTTATTGTGAGTGTAGCATACATATTTCTTAATAAACAGCCGTTGAAACGGATGAAACTCTTCAACTTCTAACTTCTAGAGGTCTTATGTCGATTTACCACAGATCAATCAAAAAAAAAAAAGATTCAAACATACTGGTATGCTTTTCTTTCCACTGCTAGAACACAATATATACAATAACATGTTGCAACCGAGAGGAAAACAAGAAAATTGTTTAAGTGCAGGCAGTACATATTGGACTAAAAGTACATACTATGTTGCTATATCACATCTTGTCACACGCACACACACACACACACACACACACACACACACACACACACACACACACACACACACACGCCCAGGCACACATTTTTATCACTATTATCAGTCATCAGGCACCTCATTAGGTGCACAATATAATATTGATGGACGGATGACGGATGGATGGCTCCGGATAGCTTGATAAATGAATGTTTGCAGTGATGTAATACTGTGTGTCGTTGCTAATATGATCTACATTTCTTTCAAGATTTCATCTCCAAATGAGTTGTTTTAATAATTTCATTTGCCTTATCTTGCGCTGTCTTTCTTACATGCAGGTCTTGGGGGTCCATTTGAACAAATGGACTCTGGACTGGAAATTGGGCTTGGTCTGCCTCATCCTGTACGCCATCTTCCTCTGTTTCTCTATCCTTATTGAGTTCAACGTCTTCTTTTTTGTCAATCTCCCCATGTGCCGGGACATCCGCTGACCTTGATCGTCCTCTGCTGTTCTTTTTTCTTCCTCTGGCAAAGGGAAGCGGGGGCCTCACTTTGCTCTTGGTGCGAACGATTGTGCTACCAATGATTAATCTTTGGTGCAATGCACATCATAGAGGACAGTGGCTCGTTGCCAAAAAGTCTCAACAACAGAGGTTGTTGCAAATTACTTTTGAATGCGTCGCATATCTTTGGATGCCACGAAAACTGTATCCTCAGCCCACCATCTGTGAAGAAGCTGCTAATGTAACTGCCTGACTGATAGAGGAATAGAACTTGACGTTTCACCGGATTGTTTGTTACTCTTTGTAACGAGTCTTGGATAAAACCACAGTCATGGTTTTACTTTGTGAATGCAAAACAAAACTGAAAACATCTTTCTCTCTATGTATTAAAACTGGGAGAGGCTGGAATACTCTTCTGCATAAAATTGGTGATCCAATGGCAGTGATCATTTTTAACGTGAGCACAGTATACTGGTGAACGATGCCACGACTGTCATTCATTCTAATGTTTCAACCTTTCTCCTGTGTTTTTTCTGACGACATGGTATGCTGTCATCTCACACTTTGCACTAACACAGGAACTGGAGATGTTTGAAAATATTTATTATGAGTTTTCAAATTGAGATTCTGTATATCTTCATGCCTGCAAGTTGCATCTCGCAAGAGCTTATATATATAAAAACTAAAGTCCAACATGTTTTTTTGTATGTGAGTGTTAGCTTTGGATTTGGTACTTGTGTGTACAAGTGGATGTGCACGTGTTTGTCTGCATGAAGAAAATGCAACGGCAACATTTATTTAATTGACTCAAATATCATATCCACCACCAGTTTGAGTGGTGGGTCAAATCCTGTCCACCACCAGAGCTGGGTCAAAGTGAAAGTGGTGATGATGATTATGGAGCTGATGCACGGTACCAAAAATAGAATCTGGAAAATGACTTGATGCTTATACTCAACAATAATACTTATATACATACTATACATGTTTTGTATAAGTTGGAAATATTTTGATACAGATGTATCTAAGCCAGAACAGAAAATACAATTGTCTTTGGGGTTTTTTTGTAATTTTTTTTGCCATTTTGGATGGGTAAATGGAAGGAAATCTTTTATGGTGAAGCAAATACGTAGAGGTTGTGTGACTGACAGCAAGGACATTTTATCTTTCACATTATCTTGTCTCTTTAACTCTGTATCAGTGTTTCAAATCTTGTATTATCACCACGATGATTGATTTGAGGTGCGAATAGAGCATAGCTTGTGGCCATTTTCCTGCTTACGTTTGAGCCAAATGACACGTATTTTTGTACACGGTATTGCCACTTTCACCGTGTCGTTAAATAACATGTGGAAAATGTCATTGATTCTTAGCCTTGAGGATTTTTATCTGACAAATTCTTGCTGATAGGTTAAGGAATTTTGTTGCAACGTTAAAACAACCAGAAATGTTCACATTTTTATTCCCTCTGGTACACCAGAAATGTTCAGAACAGAATAAGAACCAATACAAATGCTTCAGTTTGCATGCCTCTGTTGCAAGAAAAAAATGCAACTCTTGTTAATGTATTTTCATCACTATTATTACTGTTCTGTACATTTCAAAGGGATATGCTGCCATAAACAGATGTTGGAATAATGTCTTAACTAGCAATTATATTTGCAGTATTTAGTTGTAAGTTAATTTATAGCTTGTTTTTGTTGTCATAGCGTCAATGCTCATTGTTTGTATATTCTAATCTTTTGTTGTTGCAGGTCTCTGGGCAAGAGCTTATATTACAGTAAGACACTCTACAAAAGTCTTGCAATAAACAGACTTACATGCACTTGAACCACATGAAAACGGGTTTGTTACCAGTCATTTATTTCTTTATAGAGAAACATTCACTGAAAACCAGTCCTAACAGTTTTGACATCACAACTGTGTACTTCCAATCCATGTAACTGGATACAACAACTCATTATATTGTGCTCATAATGGATGGAGTAGTATAACAGATGACTGAATTTTTTTTTAGCCCTCCAGCTCTATCAGAATCAAAATCAGATTTATTAGCAATGTAAAACACATAAAGAATTTACTTTCCCAGTTACAACCCAGTTGGGAGGAACATAAACAAAACAATGACCAACAGAAGGGGACAGAATGAGAAGTGGGGTGGTTTGCTGTTAAGCGCCCCGATATCCTAGATGTGAAAAGAAAACAATAGGCAAGAGGAGGAAAAAAATAACAGACCCCAACTGTTCTCCTTAAATGGGTGCGTGGTTTGAGCCAGAGTAAAAAAATACTGTAGCATATGGCCGTTTACCATACTACGATGTTACGGCAGTGTCGCAAAGCATTGGTTGGTTGGGTGACGACTGACACCTGTTACGGCAGTTGACGAAAGACCGTTGAAAAAGTAAGTCGTGTCCTCACGTTTTTCGGATACAACATTTTGGCGACGAAGATGGACTTTAACACAGCTCCCCTCCCCTCGTTCCTCACGCTCCCCGGTGAGCCACCAGTCCCGTGGTCCCGCTGGTATGACTCTTTTACAACATATCTGACGGCGATCGGACTAAACGAGGCAAGCGACGCACGGCTAACGGCTATGCTAGTGCACAGCTTGGGCGTCGAGGGACAGCGCATTTTTCGTACTCTCGGACCCGCACGGACATATGCAGATAGTGTCGCTTTATTGGCCGGACATTTCGCTGCTCCGCAGAGTGTGATAGTCCGGCGGATTACCTTTCGCCAACGACGGCAACACACGGGCGAGCCGGTACACCACTACATTGTCCATTTGCGATGCTTAGCCGGCCTCTGCAAATTCGGCCGCTTGGAGGAGGAGATGATTCGGGACCAATTAGCGGAGCACACGATTGATCCCAAGCTACGGGAGAAACTGTTGCTGTCGCCGGACGACCTCCCGCTGTCGAAGGCTGTGGAAATGGCGTTCCAACTCGAGAATGCAGCACAATTAGCAGCGTGGCTCGATAATCCAGACACAGCCACCGCTTCACGCTCTCCCGCGCTGGCACAGATTGTCGCTGTGGCTGGACGTCAAGGGGCCGTCACACGCAGACCTTGTGGCAACTGTGGCTCGACCTCGCACCCAACGCGTGCGCCATCTTGCAAAGCCACCGGACAAAGATGCCAGCGCTGTGGGAAGATGAACCACTTCTCCGGGATGTGCCCCTCATCCCGCTCACCTGACCGGTCGGCCCCGACCACCATTCACTCCGTGGGCTCCTGTGCCAAGCCATTCAAGTGGTGCACAGTGGAACTGGACGGCGTGAGCTTGCCACTCCTGCTTGACACTGCGGCCTCCAGGTCACTACTGAACGTGTCCACAGTTAGATGCCTATTTCCCCGGCTCTCGATTCAGGCCAACACCGAAGACTTGTTTGGCTATGGCCACACTAAAATTGGCATGGTGGGCACCGCCACCTTCGCCGTGCGCTATGGCTGTACCCTTCGCCGTGCACCATGGCTCTAGAACTCTCCCTGCTTTCACCTTCCAAGTCTCCCGTCATGGCGCCAACCTCTTGGGCTTCGACTTGTTTTGCGCACTCGGTTTTTCCATCACTGACAACGCGGGCGCCACAATTCTGACAGTGACTACATCCTGGCAGGACCGTTGGCCATCGCTCTTTTCAGGTTTGGGCTGTCTCACTGGCTTCAACCA